ATGTCATCCCGGGAAACCACAAATCTCATGGAGTTTTGAAATTCCCTTTTACATTGGGGTGTCCAGGCCCTTCTTCATCAAGCAGGGACATGACACAGTGCTGAGGAACAGCAGTGGCAAAGGAGATGTGGAAAATCCTCTGCCAGGAGAGTCTGGCTCACACAACTAAGATGATAAATTGTATGGTTTTAGTTTTTCAAGCTCTGCTCACTTGCCAGGTTCTCTCTCAGCTCTGTGTTGGGCATAGTGAAGGGACACAGACAGGACTGAAACAACTCTCTACATTGGAGGGTCTCTCATCAAATGTGGGGCATGATGAGGACATTCTGGGGATAGAAATCACTGTAATATGGAGAAGATTGTGACTTGAACCACAGCGGAGGTACTGATGATAGAAAGCTTATATGTATTTAATGAAAAGAAAGAGGACATCTACTTGGCAGGGTGTGGGGTAGAGATTGGTAAGGGTTAGTCTCCATGAAATAGCGTTTAAACTGGGAGTTTGAAGGATGGGTGAGATTTATTATTTTTAAAAATCTCTCTTTATCATGAAAGTAGAATATGTTCATCATAAAAAGAAATTAAGCTCTGACTAATAAAAGCATGGAAAGAAATGAAAGTCATCTGAAATCCCAGCACTCAGAAATAATCAGTGTTACCATTTTGATCTATGTATTTGTTGTTGTTGCAAAGTTGGAAGTACACTGAAGGTGACGTTTTGTATCCAGCTCTTTCTGACTTTTATGGCACAAACATTTTCCCACTGTTACTGATTAGTTTTTAAAACTGTGCTACTTTATGGGGGAGTATTGCAGTGTGTAAACGTGAGGATAGGATTCCCAAACAGCGTGAGCCAAGGCATATGGCTTGCACAGCGCAAGGATTGTTCATTCTTTACTAATTGGTGTCAGAAATATATTTTGGATGCATACAACCTTTGGAGACAAAATGCAAAGAACTGATTCTGTCTTTGTGGAATTTATAGTATAGGAGAGGAGACAGACATTAATTAGGTTATCATAGAAATAACTGTAAAAGTGCATCTGGGATAAGTACTATGAAGGAGAAATACATAGTATTATGAAAGTGTACATTAGAAAGAACAGAAGTAGTTACAGAGGTCTGGGTAAGTTTGCCTCGGTAAGGGGTAATTGAACTCAGCCCTAGAGCAGTTAGGGAAATAACATCAGGTGGGAGCAACATATGCAAAGGTCCCCTTAGTAGCAGTGGACATGGTGAATACAAGAAACTGAAAGATCAAGAAGAGTGAGTGGAGAGACTTGGCCTGTGATGGGGTTGAATAGGTAGATAGGGCCTGACTGTGGACAGCCTCTTAGATCAGATGAAGAACTTCTATCATTTCTTGTGAGAGCTCTGGGGGACTGTTGAAATGTTTGCAGCCAAAGTGAAGACGTGAAGGCCAATCTGTTTTTTTTTCCCCAAAAGATCTGCCTCACTACAGTATGGTGGAGAGGTTAGGAGGGAACTGGAGCAGTTCCCTCCAGTAGGTAAACTGGGTCTAGGTGACTAGAAGCCTAAACCTAGTGAGAGGGTGATCGCAGTAGTCTAAGCAGGAGATGAGGGGGGACCGCATCAGGTTGGTGAAAGTTCAGATGGAGGTAAGTAGGTGGTTTTCGGAGATTTTTTTGGGGAGTCAAATGTTTAGGACCTGGCATGTGAGCTGAGGAAAAGGTGGAGTCCAGAATGACTCCCTCCGAAGTCTCCAGCTTGCATAAACGGGTGGAAGCAGGGTTCTTCTCCCAGATAAGGAACACTGCAAGAGGATGAGGTTTGAAAGGCATGGCGATGCGTGTTTTCTCAGGGGAAAGGTTTCCCAGAGACAGCAGCCCCAGGGTGGTATATATCATCACATCAGCTCCTTCCAGAAGTTGGTTTTACTGTATTCTCATACCACACTGAAGGGTCCTCTATTTGGAGGTGGATGGTACTGGGGAGAAAGCCAATACCATGGCTGGGTTTCATGTCTCTACCTTGTCTTTAAGATAAGGGTAATAACTTCTGGTCCAAAGGGTTGCTCTGAGGTTCATAGGACCGTCAGTATCCAAGGACTTTGTAAGTCTCCACAATATGCTATTGCTACTTCTACCCCTATATTTGTTGTGGATATTGTTGCCAACCCAAGTTCAATTATGTTAATGTCGGGAATATGAAATTCAATGTTTTTTCCATGAGTTATTTGGGAAAAAAAGGTGTGATTGAAGTCTAAATAAATACATATACCACCCAGGAGCTAGAGATGTGGCCCCAAACTATTTATAACCCCATGTGTTTACTTGAATTCAGACTTTCCCGACATGTAAATTATGCAGAATCTGTGTCACAGCAGAGCACTCTGTGTTCCTAAAAAGAATTCTCTTTTTTCCCAAATCCTTTACCTTTTAAAATAAATCTCATTATGGAGTGCTGACATTTTCAGCAAAACCATTCAACCAAAAGCTGTAGTTTTTTTAGACTAAAACCAAGTCTGGTTTATTAGGCAGCAGCTTTTAACTTACTGCTAAGTAGATGCAAGCTATTTAGAGAAATTTATGTAGATATCTGATAAGACATTTCAGAGTCCCCTGGTCTCTTTCTGACTAAGATTGAGAGTATAAAACAGATGATCTAGAATTCTTTCCTTCTCTCAGTGGAACAGGGGTTGAGTATGGCAGTGTTGTTGGGTGGATGGAAACCATAGAACAGGGTTTATTTATTTGAGAGAGAGAGAGAGAGAGAGAGAGAGAGAGAATGAATACGAGTTGGGGAGGGGCGGAGAGAGGGGAACAGAGGCTACAAAAAGCACTCTGTGCTGACAGCAGAAAGCCCAGTGCAGGGCTTGAACTCACAAACTGTGAGATCATGACCTGAGCTGAAGTTGGAAGCTTAACTGACTGAACCACCAGGTGCCCCAGTAGAACCACGATTTAAACCACATCTCTCAGACTCTACACCACTGACTCTAGTATCATATTCTAGTTGACTGACTTCAGATGTGACTTTCTTCAAAGGGTTGTGGGGGATGTAAAGCTAATACTTATACCACATAATGGCCGCCATGATCAATGCTCTTACCCTTCTTGTTTTTCCTTCATCATCTTTTCTGTCTTTTCTTCTCTTTCAAACTTTTTTTTCCTCTCTTTCACACATCCACCTTTTCCTTGCAGTGACTTAACTCCTGACTCGTCTTGCCTGTCTGTGTTTAGATTATGCTATACTGAGGAATGGAATATATTTGGGCTGCCCAAAATTCCCTAGACACTTAAGGCCCCTGCCAGTGATAATAACCGCTGATTTATAGAGCACCGATTGAGAGTCGTTTCCCTTAATCCTCTCCACAAACTCAGGAGAGTGCTAGTATTGTCTCCATTTCACAGATAAGGAACGTGAGTCAAAAGCATGTGAAGTGTCCTATCTTACAGAGTAAGTAAGTGATAGAGCTGGCAACTTTCATACTGGCCCTCATCCAGCCCAGCAACCTCCAAAAGTTTTGATTGGCACTCATTTATTCACCAGAAAGATATTTATTTAGTGTGGGCTATTTGACAGGAGCTGGATAGAGTGAGTAGCCCAATGGCCATGGTCTCTGCCTTTGTTGAACATACACACATACATGATACTGAGCTCACCTTGACTGACATTGTCCAACCCTCTGTATTTTCATGTCTATTGTGATCGTCAATGTCCACATGGTACTTACTTCTAAACATTTTTATCTCATTCCTTCTTCCAAAAAGCAATAGGTCCACAAAAGAAGAAGGACCAGGATGCTTTGAGAGAGCATGATAAAGGGCCAAGTTGATATAGGACCTTAAGAAATCCTCCTTGAATGAGGCATTTGAACCATGATTTGGACAGTGAGGGTTCTTAGCCTGCTGTGAAATAATGTTGGGCAATGGCCTGACCATACAAGGACTTGTAGTTCCATTTACGTGAGTTGGGTTTGCTCCTAGGATCAAAAAGATGCTATTTAACAAACAGGGGAATGATGTCATTCTGTTTGTATTAAAAAAAAAAAAAATAGCACTGTGTTTGCTGTGTGAGAATGGATGGGAGTGGACTACCTAGTCTATCTTTACATTAGATTGATTCTGTGTAGTGAGAATTCAGGTATGAACCAATCACAGATCATCCTTTTCAGTCTCTTGGGGAAAACAAAACGTGTACTGAAATAATTCTAATACAAGTCATGAGTGCTATAGTAGATAGACAGCAAAAGTGCTGTGGGTGAGGGCATTTATAGACCATGCTCACTTTCTTCTAGCCAGACACCACTGTTCAGATCTCTTCTTGTTTTCTCTGTTGGAGATTCTGTTAGAGTTAGAATTTTCTATGTATGCCCTAAAAGGCTCTCAAGTCCAAAGCAAATCAATTTGGTGAAAACTTATCTAGTGTCTACTTTGTCGTTGGCCCACTTCACTTGTTTGGCTGTATTTCTACCACAAGGATATGATAGGATGACTAGGTGTTGTGTTGGCTTGGAGGTCAGTGCACCTTTGTGTAAGTCTCCATTTTTTTTCTCCACTCAGCAATGCAACTTTTGGAGATTAGCATAACCTAGTGTGTAGTGAGTAAAGTTTGTGGTAAGAATTGAGTTAGAAAAATTGATGTTTTGGTGTCCTTGGAGGAAGATAAAGGTTTTCTGATGAACAGGGAAGATGTGAAGGAACATGAATCAGGTGACTGCCAACATGATACCATCTTGTCATTCCCCCGATGGATCCCTTCATGGGTAATCATCTCTGAACTCTGTGGCTGTGGAACATTTGTTTGTTTGTTTGTTAGCAATCTTCCATCTTCCCCTCTCCCTTGGTCATGGGGCTGGACTGAGAGAGAGAGAGAGAAAGAAGGAGAGAGGAAGGATAGTTATTCCTCAGCACCTCTTCTGAGGTGATCAAATCTCCCTGTCTTCTGTGTTAGTAGAGATGTTTCAATGAGTACTGTTATCTTTAACTCGAAAAGACCATGCCATTAACTTTTATTCTCTGTGATGATTCCCACAGGATAGATCATTGGAACAATGAGAAGGAGAGGATTTTGCTGGTCACAGACAAGACTCTCTTGATCTGCAAATATGACTTCATCATGCTCACCTGTGTGCAGTTGCAGCGGATTCCCCTGAGCGCCGTGTATCGCATCTGCCTGGGCAAGTTTGTCTTCCCTGGGATGTCACTGGACAAGTGAGTGTGGTGTCTTAGACTTGGAAAATGGTGCAGTGGAGGGCATGCCATGCAGGGAAATCAGTCACAAAGTTCAGTTTAGTATAGTAATCCAAGTACACCCAGGGGAGAAAAGTGAAGCTGTATAGTTGAATTCATCAAATAATCTTTGCATTCCTATTCTATGTCAGACACCAGGGATGCAACTTTAAGTAAACTGGGACTTTACCAAGGGCACATGAGAAATAAATGGTTGACTATAAGGGGGAAAGAGCTGTGGGATCATGGAAGAAAGATTCTCAATACAATTTGTGTGGCAGGGAACCAGAGAAGCTCTACTGGAGAAGGACTTGAGCCTGTATTTGACGTTGGGTAAGAATTAGGCAAAGATGGAGAACAGAAATTTAACATTCCAAGCTGAAGGAACAGCACAGCCAAAGGAGTGGAGGTGGGAAACAGTATAATGCCTTTGGAAATTGAAATTATTTTGTAAAGCTGAGTGGACAGGATTTATGATGGTCAATAGCTCTTCTTTTTTTTTTTTTTTTTTTTTTCAACGTTTATTTATTTTTGGGACAGAGAGAGACAGAGCATGAACGGGGGAGGGGCAGAGAGAGAGGGAGATACAGAATCGGAAACAGGCTCCAGGCTCTGAGCCATCAGCCCAGAGCCTGACGCGGGGCTCGAACTCACGGACCGCGAGATCGTGACCTGGCTGAAGTCGGACGCTTAACCGACTGCGCCACCCAGGCGCCCCTGGTCAATAGCTCTTCTTGAAAGAGGTCTCTTTGAGATCTTCCCTGGATGCTTGGTAGAAAGGACCTCAACTATCTCAGAGATGTTGACATTTACCAAGATACCTGGTGAGGTCTACAGAGCAGGGTTGCTGAACTAAGTTCTTGTTATGGTCTTGGAAAGAATTGTCTTTCTTAAACATTTTAAAGTTTATTTATTTATTTGAGAGAGAGAGGGAGAGCGTGCATGTGTGCGTGCCCTAGCGAGAGAGGGGTGGAGAGAAAGCTAGAGAGAGAATCCCAAGCAGGTTCTGTGCTGACAGTGGGCTCAATCCTATGGAACCGTGAAATCAGAACCTGAGCTGAAGCCGAGTCGGATGCTTAACTGACCGAGCCACCCAGGTGCCCCCTTTCCTAAACATTTTAGATCTAAGCCAGGACAGCAATCTCCCTCTGAGCCTTTGACTGTGAGCTTTTCCCATCTCCTGGTGAGCAACTTGAGGGAAAATACCTTTTTGTTTGTTTGTTTGTTTGGCATCTGGCATTGGGCCTGGCACACAGTGAGAGCAGAAAAACTTTTCTAAAATGTTGAAAAAAAGCACAGTTTGATCAAGTGATTGGTTTCCTTACAAAAAGCATACCATATCAAAGATCTATGCTTTAATTTATTCTTTTCATGGATGCATGATGTGACAAATTGATTTAGCTCACTAACTTTTTGAACTGGTGGGTTTTCAATAATATAAGCAATCATAAATATTTTTATAATATCACAGAATGTTTATTTTCAGGAAATATCTCTCCCACCCCATACTCTAAGTTCTCAAGATTTATTACCCTAGGTGATAGTCAATAGTTACATGTTGTTATTTTTTTCTTTTTTTAAAGAAATAGAAATAGCAAATGCACAGGAGTATAGATGTCTTTGTATGTCTTTGTATGTAATGGGTTTATACACATTTGTAAGTACATCTGCACAGGCACATTTATCATAAACTGTTTTACTCAATGGGAGCACATGTTGTAAACTATTCTGCCTCGAGTTATTTGACCCAATGAGATTTTATTATATAATTGGAGATTTTATTACATAATTATTTATAGATCAACCTCAGTTTTTTAAATAGTGCAGAATATTTATTTTAAAAAGTAATCTATTTATCCAGCCCCTCATTAATGGCTATTTATTTTTACTTTTGCTACTATAAGCAATTCTGCTATAAATATTCTTGTGTATAGGACTTGGGATAGATGTCTAAATGTATCTATAATGTAAATTTCTGTAAGTGGAATTATTAGGTCAAAAGTCATGTGCATTTTAACTGATAGATATTGCCAAATTGCCTTCTGAACAGGTGACACCAGCTTACACTCCCACAAAGTGTAAGAGTGTCCTTTTCTACACATCTTCACCAATATCTCACATTATGAATCTTTTTTGCTTTGCCAGTGAGATAAAGAAAAACAACTCATTTTTGTTAATTTGTTTTATAAATATTGAGTTACTCACAATTCTTTGATTTTGTGTCAATTTTGGTAAATTGTATTTTTCAAGGAATTTGTTACATTTATTTACAGTGCTGTATTTGAAAGCATAAAGTTTTTAATAATATTCCATTATTATACCATTAATGTCTATAAGACATTTAGTGATATCCCCTTTCTTTCCTGATTTTGATGACCTGTGTTTTCTCTCTTTTTCTGTCAGTGGACCTATTGATTTTGTTGGTTTTTACAAGAATATACTTTTAAATGCTAATTTTCACTTTTGTCTGATTTTTATTTAGTTGATTTCTGCTTTTTTATTTATTTATTTTTTCCATTCTTCTACTTACTTTTGGTTTACTTTTCTTTCCTTTTTTTAAACTTTTTAATTTGAAACCCAAGGGCATTGATTTTAGGCCTTTTCTTCTTTTCTGATATGACTATTTAAATCTATAAATTTCCTTCTAAGCACTGCCTTTACTGCATCTCATAAAGCTTGATATGTTGTGTTTCTACTCTCATTTAGCTTGAAGTATTCTCTAATTTTTCTTGTGATTACTTCTTTGAGCCATGGATACTTTAGAAGTTGTACTGGCTAATTTCCAAATATTTTTCTTGAGATTTAATATTCTTTCATTTTAATTTAGAGAACATATGGCCTTGATTTTAATCCTTGTAAATAAATCGAGACTTGTTTTATTGACTGAACTATAGTATATTTTTCTGAATGTATCATATTTATTGGAACAAAATTTTGGGATTGTAAATATCAATTGGTTTATTGTGTTTGACAGTATTGTTTAGGTTATCTATATTTTTACTGATTTTTGTCCATTTTTGTATTAGTTATTGAGAAAGGAATGTTAAAATCTATCATTGTGGAGTTTTCTTTTCTCTTTATTCTTTGCTTAATGTATTTTGAGGATCTATTGTGTACATTATATTTATGATTAATATGCCTTCCTGAAAAATTGAGCCTTTTTTTCATTATGGATTGGTTATCATTTTTATACTTATTTTTTTACATAGCAAATCTTTTTATAATACATTTACTGTCCATGTCTTTGTATTCAAAGTATATTTATCGAGATCACATAATTGAGTTATAGTTTTAATCCATTCTTATAATCTCTGCCTTTTAATTGGAGTGTTTAGTCCCTTTACATTTTATATAATTTTGATTTGATTGAAGTTGAGTCTACCTATTATTATTTTTTTTTTTTACATTTATTTATTTTTGAGAGACAGAGTAAGCAGGGGAGGGGCAGAGAGAGGGAGACACAGAATTAGAAGCAGGCTCCAGGCTCTGAGCTGTCAGCACAGAGCCTGATGCAGGGCTCGAACCCACGAACCGTGAGATCGTGACCTGAGCCGAAGTTGGATGCTTTAACCGACTGAGCCACCCAGGCGCCCTGAGTCTACCTATTATTTGTTTTCCATTTTCCCTTTTTAGATTTATTTCTTAGTCCTCTTTTTCAACCTTATTTTTAATTATTTAAATACCTTTCATAATTTAATTTTAATATTTCTATTGGCTTTTTAGCTATAACATTTTATATAATTTTGTGGTTGCTTTAGAGCAGAGTTTCTCAACATGAAGACTGTTTACATTTTGGGTAGGACAATTCTTTGGTATGGGAAGCTCGTCTGTGCATTGTAGGATGTTTAGCAGCAACTTTGGCTTATACCCAGTAGGTGCCAGTAACACCCTGCTTCTGTTAAGACAATCAAAATATGTCCCCAGATATCACCAAATATACCCTAAGGGCAAAAATCACTCCATATTGAGAACCACTGCTGAAGGAATTATAATATAGGTACTTAACATTTCACAGTCTACCTAAATTTAATATTGTAATACTACACTTTTAACATAGAAACCTTGTAGACTTATTATTCTAGAACTGTAAATGTTTGATATAGTATGATAAAGTCAGTGTAGCCATAGGAGGATATGAGAAGGAGGCTTGGAAGAAAGTTTATTGTGCTCACAGGTCTAAGAAAGGGAGTCCCCATATACCATAGAGGGCCTCAGAGGAAGTCACCAGTGTTGGTCAGGAGGCTGAAAGGACAGGAGCTATACGAGAACTTAGACCATGGCTGTTACTAGAGTTTCTACAGGAAAGGCAGGGCATGACAGGGTACTCAATTTGGGACTGGGTAGTTTAAATAATTTTGGTAGACTTTAAGCTGTAGGGGAGATCCACTGTTGCTTAGTACCTGAACCTGGATTGATCAAGGCAGAAGAATATTGCCTCATGGGGTGTATGGGCCAAATAGAAGATGTATGGTTCAGGATTGTTTTATATGAATATCAAAGGTGTACTTTAGGCTGAGTCCTTTGCTATCTCTAAAAATTGGCTAGCCCCAAGAGGGGCAGTCTCTCCCCAGACAGAAAGCTTCCTTAGTATGTTAAAACATCATAAGGTACATTAAATAAGTAAATACATATTTACATACATATACATACCATACATGTACTATTTACAACACCTCCTTACTGACCTTTTATAAGTTGCAGTTGTCATGCATATTACTTCTATATGCATTTTAATCTAAACAGGATAATGTTATAAATTTTGTTTTAAGAAATTGTACATATTCCAAAAAAATTAGGATATATAATTGTATTTTCTATTTAAATACATGGTTTTATTTACTTTTATTTTTTTAATGTTTGTTTATATTTGAGGGAGAGAGAGAGAGCTAGCACATGGGGGAGGGGCAGAGAGAAAAGGAGACACAGAATCTGAAGCAGGCTCCAAGCTCTGAGCTGTCAGCACAGAGCCCAATGCAGGGCTT